AAATGGATTTAAATGGGTCTCAGACGTAGTCTAGGTTCAATTCTGATTTGATCCATTTGGTGATTTTATCCACCCTAGTTGAAAATATCATTACAAAACCTTTGAAAAAGTGGCTTTTAGAAAGGAAAAAAAAAATAAATAAATTCGGTCTATTTCTATAATTTCTCCAAATCTGATGAGTTAAACTTCTCTACCTTCGGCACCAATTTTACCGATCAAAATCATCCTCAAGACTCCTACTTCGCAGCAAAAATGGCAATCATCACTGAAGAACCTGAACCCCCAACCCCACCACCCAGAACGAAACCAAACACCAAGCCTAAGAAAGCCACCTCGCCACCACCACCGTCCGCCACCGCCACTGCCACTAAATCCACCACCACTACAAACCCTTTTCACTTTTGGTTCTACTTCACTCTTATTGTTTCCCTTATTGCCCTTTTATTTATTTCTATCTCCTCTCTTTCCCCTCAAGACCCAAAAACTTGGTATCTCAATCTTCCCCCGGTCCTCCGCCTTCACTACTCCAAAGGCCGCACTATCAAAGTTCAGACAAGTCCTAATTATCCCCAAGTTGAGGTCTTTTCCATCCAAGAAGGCCCAACTAACTCGGATTCTCACGTCCTTTTTGTACATGGCTTAGGCTGTAGTTCTTTTGCTTTTCGAAGTATTCTTAAATCTTTAGGCCTTAAAAATGTCCATGCTGTGGCTATTGATCTACCGGGGTCTGGTTTTTCGGATAAATCCATGGTCGTGGTTGAAGAGAATGCGGGTGGTAATGGGGTTTTTGGGAATCTGTGGAGTGTGTACAGTGATATTAAAGAAAAGGGTCTGTTTTGGGGGTTTGATCAGCTTATTGAACAAGGCTATGTGAATCATGAGCAAAATGAGATTCGAGTTTTGAAGAAAGAGAGTGTTAAGGCTATTGAGTTGGGGGGTGAAGAGATAGGGAGGGTGTTAGGTCAAGTAGTGGATTCAATGGGACTAGCACCTGTGGACTTAGTCCTTCATGATTCAGCACTAGGACTGAGTGCCAATTGGATTTCCGAAAATCCGGGATTAGTTAGAAGTGTTGTGGTTCTTGATGCTGTAGCAAGTGGGACAGCATTGCCACTTTGGGTGTTGGATATGCCTTTGGTATGGGAGGTTGTATCGGGGTTTAAATTTGTGTTTAAGACAGTTCTTGCAAAGTATTGTATGGAATCGGTTGGTGGGCTGGAGGCTGAGGCGCATAGGATTCTATTGAAGGGGAGGGATGGGAGAAGAGCAGTTGTTGGGATGGGGAAAAAGTTGAATTTTAGTTTTGATTTAGCTGAATGGAGCAGTCTTGATGGGGTAAAAGATCTTCCCATGCGAGTGATCTGGTCCGGTGGATTTTCCAAAGAATGGAGTGATAGGGGACGGCAAGTTGCTGATGTACTTCCTCAGGCGACGCTTGCCACACATTCTGGTGGGCGGTGGCCCCAGGTACGGATCAGCTATTATAATACTTTTTGGTCAGGTTCCTATTTTTTTTCTGGTAGAACTTCGTAATGTTATCTTGTTCTCTTGATAGTTGTTGATCTTTCATTGCTGTACTGCGACATTCTTAGTGCATTAGACAAATTTGTACTTTGACTTTGGAATGCTTCATGGTAGAATAGCTTTAGGTTCCAGTGAGTTCTCTATAGCAGGGTTCAGGAGACTTTTTCCTTTTGGTAGAAGGGGCGTTAGAAAGTTGAATCACTGTCTGCTACAGTTAAGGATTAACTGCTGCTCCTAGGTGCAAGCTAGGCACTGTATATCGTTTATCTTCTTGATTTATGGGGCAATAATTTATGAATGATTGTGTTTAGATATGACTGCACCAGGCTACAAGTTGAAATTTACGCCATTGAACTTTTACTATGTTGAGTTCCTATTGGTTTGTTCTCTCTTTGAAAAATATGGCTAAATTCATGGCGTTAACTGCCTAAAGTTTGAAAGAGGCAGCCATCAGGGAAAGATTTTCCGTGTGAAAATAGGGCTAATTTTCCTATTGGTTTGTGCTACATTATCTAATAGTATTTTTTATAACTGGTACAAAGTGTTGTGAAAGGAATTCTCTTAATATCTTGAGCTTCCACTTATTGTGCAAGTACTGTAGCTTGAAATAGCAACCGTGTTCCATTATTCCCCTGCTGGTGGAGTGTCTCCACATACATAAATAAGTAGAAATGCCTCACTATCTTTATGACATCTTAAGCCTCGTTTGCATCCTCGTGCATATGTTCTTCCTTCCATGTTATTCTGAAACTTCTCAAATTTTATAAGAAATTTCTTTGGCTGGTATTCTTTTAATTCTGATTGATTTGCTAGCTGTATGAAGCACCAGCATTCTTCCTATATTGTCGGTTTTCCAATACGGATCGGAGACGGACACTCTGACACTTTCCTGACATGTTGCTCAATTTTTAACCTTTCTTTTTCTTTTTAATTTCCAACATTCAAGGGACACTTTCTCAACATGCCTTGGGCATATGTCCCCATGTGACATGTCCCGTATGTTTATATTCTTTTTAGTTTCTAACACACGAACTGTATGCCTCGACCGTCAAGGACACTGCGTGAGCCCCATTTTGTGAACTTTGGAATATATAATTAGAAAAATTTTAAATTATTAAAATGTTTATGAAAATGTCAAAATAATGATTATATGAATTTCATGTTGGATTTTTCTCATATTTACTAAAAGCATTTTTGGACACTAATAATTTCATTTTTTGGCACTAGTCATGAATAGTGCAATCCAAAATTATCTTATTACAACAAATAGCCACTCTAATTTACTAGATTGCCTATAAAATTCAAGATTCAAGCTAAAAACAAAGTAATTAGTTTTGTTGAAAAATAAAACGTACAATGTAAAATATGATATTGTTGCTTTCAAGAGTGAAGTTGGATGTGGTTCCTGTTGCTAAACCCCTCGTGAGGGAATAATGTAGCTCATCATTTAGCTTCAAATGTAGTTTTGTCCCCGATTAGTTCAAATTGGGTTGATTTTATTCCAAACTTCATTGCGCATATGTTATTGGCGATTCACATTAATGGAATAACTTTGCTTTGGCTTTCAAAAAAAAAAAGGTGAAATATAAATGTATATTATCAAAGAATCTTATCGCTGTGTCCCTGATGTTTGTATTTCCTACTTTATAAAGGTTTCATGTCTGCATGTTTGTGTCTCGTGTCCTCCATGCTTTATATGCAATCATATTGCGTTTGCATTTAACCTTTTTTGGTCCGCCCTAAACTGATGGGTTAAAGTAGCAGCTGGTTTATTGGGAGATCATCTTATGGCTGAGACGAAATGAACTTTTAGGTTGTGCATATCTGTACAAATGTATGTGAAATGTCACTGCATATATGTTTACATCTGTATTTCTCTTTCTGCGTGTATTATTGTATGTATCTCTGCATATCAGTCCTTTTATACGACAGCACCATTTTTGAATTATAACTTTACCCAAATAGAATATATATGCATCATCTTCGAGTCATCCGTCTACTTGCTCTTCTCAAACGTTCCACGACCTGAATCACCCTTTTAGTCATTAAGTGGCTTGCTATCCCTTCGTTTTGCATCCAAGAAAAAGTAATATTGGAAAGTTGTATGATTAATTGTTCTGGTACATTTACAAGGAAATTGATGTCGACCTACCATTCTGTTTAGGAACACATTGCTGAGGAGGTAGCTGAAAGTGTATACGAATTTGTTTCATCTTTACCAAAATCCACTAAGATGGCTGTGGAAGAACAAATACCGGAGCACATACAGAAGATGATCAACGAGGCAAAAAGCAGTGATCACCACCATCACAGTCATGGTGGTCATGACCACCATGATCATAGTCAGGGTCATGCTCACGCCGGATATATGGATGCTTATGGTCTTGGACAAGGGTGGGCCATGTGATTTGCTGCTGCTTTTTTTTCTTCGGAGAAAAGTCGAGCCACTTGATTTGGTTGAGATTATATCAGGGTATAAAACCCGTGGAGAAGATGCTATGTATTTGGACTAGTTTGCTGTTTATCTTCGTACAAGAATCTGTTCTTAAAAAGCTCAAAATCTAACATTTGGTTCAATGGAATTTGTCTCCATGTAAACAGTGGTTTAAGTAGTTTTGTTTGTAAAAGAGGCCTTCTGTTTTAAACTAGTCAACTCTCATCACATATAACTAGCCAAATCGCACAAGTTTGATTTTCCGTGCAATAGGGTTACAAATCATCATTTCGGAAATGTTCAAAAATCTGCTCTGTACATGGTGAATCGATTATGATTTTACTAGTTTAACATTGTCGGATAAAAAATTGGAGTTGTATGAAATATTTCTGATTGAAAACATAAATTTTACCATTGGTTTGATTCGACTTGACTCCGGTCGAATTCTTTAACCCTCTCTTTTATCCGAGGAAAATGCTCGAAAGAATTTCAAAACTATAATAGGAAGGAAAGAGAGAATATTTTCCAGTTCAAAGTGTATCAACTTGCAGTGTCAATGCTTTAAGCTATCGCCCACCATTCCGTGGCGGGGTTATAGTTTTTCCACTTGTTTCTCTCTCTAAAACCAGAAATGGCCTTTTAATTGCCACCCAATTGACAAAACCTCACATTTTCCTTTAGGGATGTCAATGGATTGAATTTTGATTTGAATCCGACAAAATTAATGGGAGA